TTTTTGTGGAACCCAGCATCCTCGAATATACGGAAAGCAAGCATATACGCCGGAGCAACGATCCACACATTCCGCGTATACACCGGATCTGTAAAGTCCTGAAGCAGGCAAGCTAGATTCTGGGATGCCCCACCAGAGATGCATATGCGGTCTTCGGATACCGGGTCCGCGGGCTTATAGAACGTCGTGAGCCATTGCGCGATATTGTTCTTCAGCCGCGGGTCACCTGAATCGGGTCCATAGCACATGGCTGGGTACGCAATGGGCTTCTTCTGGAGGACATTATGGGCTGCTTTGTCGAGCAATTGCGTGGGGAGTAAAGACACGTTTGGCCATCTGGTGCTGTTAGCGATTACTCTATTGGCCGCGTAATGTCCCAAAAGGGTAGCGGGTTTGCATGAAGGGCAGGGGCACGTGCCCTCTCAGCAGATTAATCAGCTTCTTGGAGCTAGTCTTGGAGCCGACGACGTCCGGTAGGGCGAACGTCTTGAGTATCTGGTCCGCGATAGTTTGGCCGCCGCCCATATTGGATTCTGTATTGGATGCTGATGAAGCCGTGGCGGCGTCGGAACACGGCTGCGTACCGAAGTGGCTGGTGCGCAGTTATGGGGCGGAGTGGACTCAGGCCAGCAGTAATAACGTGAGCGTGCCGCGATTATATCAGATGCGAAGTTCGGGAATGGGTCTACTGGCAGAATTGAATGAAGCGTGCATGCGGTTTGTCAATGCCATGCTCATACCAACGTAGGGCGCGCCTCCAGCACGTGTGTGACAGCCATGAGCCTCGGGTGGACGCTATCGATTAGGGATGGTACGTCATCCGCTCGCTAAAGACCTCATCGATGCGGCCGGCGCTGTCAATAGTTCTACCGATGCTGCAAATGGTCACGAAAACACGACATGTCAGCTGCAGCTGAATAAATTCACTCGTGGTAGTATCACAATGTTTTCTTCGACCGTTACACATTTGGAAGCTGGGCAACTCGAAACAGTCGTCTCTGGCACGACACGGCTGCGCATGGATCCGCTTCCAGCTTCCGTGGATGAGGTGGGCCTTGCCCGCAGCATGCCCGCAGCATGAGGCGCAGGTGGTGCAGGTCACAGCCAGCGCTGGCAAAGGGTCTTTTCGACGTCAAAGAGGCCGCTAAATGGCCGGCCGGCCATACCAAGGTGTAAATGCACCCCAAGGCTGAAGAGCAAAGCCAATGGCAGATGTAGAGAACGACCCACGTTGTGGCCACCCGACCTTTGACGTTACTCGTGCACTAGCATGGTTACGACACTGCGGATCTGCGACAGCTCAAATATAGATCACCTAAACACCTAGTCCCTTCACTAAGCTTTTCAGTCCCTTTCGACATATACTAACTGACCGGCGCCCGGGGCCCTGCATGTGAGGTGCTCGTGTTTGCTGTTGTGTCAAACCCATGTTGCGGCGCGCATAGTATATTTTCCTACGCTTCACGATACCCCAACTCTTGCTCCTCCCGCGCCGCATAGACAACTCCTAGATCGCCTCGCCATGCTGGGAGACAAGAAGAAGTCCGCTCGTCGGCTGTCGAGTTTGTTCGGATCGTCTGGGTCGTCCGAGCCGTCAGGGTCTACGAATAATGCGAAGTTGAGCCCAACCCCTGCGTCATCAGAGTCCAGCAGCCGCTTGACCAAAGTGCGCAACCGCCTCTCTTCAGCGACACACCTCACGCCCGAATATCCTCCGCCCGCCGCCCAGTCACCACGCGCGGTGTCTCTCTCCAACCCCACCATCCAGCCGGTCGTGCCTGCCGATCTTGAGCCCCTCGAGCCACCGCCGCCGCTGGAGGTGCCGTCGCGCGCATCGTCACCAGCGAGTAGCCGACCCGGAACGCCGAGCTTAGACCCATCCGAAGGAAAACTGAAGAAGCTGCGCAGGAAGAGCGGTCTGTTTGGCGGCCCACCCGGCGGCATTGAGGGAGTAGACGCTGCGTCAGGCGCACCACAAGGCAATGCGAGTCCGCTGGCATGGATCGTCGGACACAAGGGCAAGGTGCCATACAACCTGACGTTCCTGCTGAATGGCGAAAAGGTAGCTTGCGGCTGCTCTCAGAATCTCATACCAAGGCTGACAAGATGAAAGGTCCCTGAACTCTGGGACGATGCTGGAGACACGTTTGTCTACCTCTTCCCCCGCACCTCTGACAAGGGCCCTTCCTTCCGCATTGACTCCTCCGTATACGCAGCATCGCACCTGCTCACCCGCCTCGTCCACGGCAGCCTCTACAGCGACGCAAACGTGCCCCCGCTCGACCTGGCCGACCGCACATCGCGACGCGTGTCACGGGAACCATTTGGCGAACAGTCGCGGACTGCATCGCCCGACCAGAGCCAGATAGGAAGCTCGGATGAATCCATATCCAAGGGGTCCAGAGCCCTAAGCGACGCCCTGGAGGACGAGTACACGGAGAAGCATCTGTACATGCCCATCTCGCTGAGCTCTGACTCTGCCATTACCCCTCATGAGCCCCGGCTCGACGCAAACGATACCGACACCTTGGTCACCTACCGCAACTTCTTCGCCTTCCTCATCGGACAGTCGCTGGTCGCTACGGAGCGTCACTCAGACATCTTCGACATCTTTCTGCGGATTGGAGACATACTGTCGCACTATGCCTTCTCCAACGTTGACGGATCCACCTTTGGCGAGGTGGCTGCTTCGAGCTTCGACTGCTATGTTGACGAGTTGACCCTCGCAGACGTCCGCCACAGCCGCGAGAAGACCATAGAAGCCATTGTGCTAGGAGAGAAGTTGCGCTCGATGGCACTATACACGGAGGGTTTCGTCCACGCCGCCGGAAAGTACGACAGCATCAAAGAACTCGACTCGCCTAAATTTGGCATGATCAGCCCCAAGAGTTCTACGCGACTTGCCCGAGCTGCTATGGATCTAGCAAACCGCGAGCAATCCATCAATTCGAAGCTCAGGGACTTTGAGTTTCCGCATATCTTCTCTGGCATCATGAACAGCGCAATGGCAAGCGAGGGCAAGGTCATCAGCTTCAAGAAGTGGAGGGCCGCCTTTATGACTATCAAGTCTTTCGTTATGGATTACTACAGGCACAAATACGGTTCATGGCTACCAAAGGCCAAGTCGAAGAAGAACAACCTGACTACAAGTGGTCTTAACCGACTGGTCTTACTAGAGATCTATCGCGACATGGCTAGTCTGTATGATCTCCTCGTGGATAGAAAGAACCTGACAAACCGCACTGCGGATGGCTTTATCGCAGAAGACGAAGGAACAGACATCGAGTCCGTTGTCGCGCGTGCGCTGAGGAAGGTTCTGAGCGAATACGACCGTAGCACACCACCAGTCGCGCCACCGATTCCTTTTGACCTACCACTCTACCCCATTTCACAGAACGCGAAGACCGGCGACGCGAAGAAAGACGCAAAAGCGCGCGGAAAGAAGCTGCACAAGGACGAGGTCGCCAAGCTACTGAAGCAATCGCACAACGCCGATGCCGAGCAACAAACACCCTTCCTAGAAGCATTCCGCACATTCGAGTTCAAACAAGCCACCGGCTCAAACATGGACGACATGTGGGACATGCGATCAGGCCAGTGGCTCTTCCTATACGCAGTAATCCAGTCCCTACCCATGTTGGTCGTCGACGCGCCCGGCGTGCGCTTCACCGAAGGCGTAGAATACTTCCTCTGCGAAGTCCCACGCAGCGGCGTCCCCTGGGCCCGAGAAGACACAACCCGCTCGCGAACCTGGTTCGGAGTCGCAGGCGGCGCGCAAGTCGTGTCCCTACCCACCGACGTAGTCGAGCACGGCGTCGAAGGCACATTCCGCCGCTCGCACTGCTGGAAGAAGGCTCAGCAGTGGGCTGCAGACGATACTTTACTCAACGCCGCGATGCAGGAACTCAATGCGAATGCGAGTCCGTTACCGCCGCCACCTGGTCTTCTTGATCCTGGTGCGGCTGCTCGAGCGCGGAGTCAGAGCCCGGATCGAAGAAGGGAAAGCGTTATGAATTTGGGGTTGGAGGCTCTGCCGCTGCCGCCTGGTGTTGCGCCGCCGATGCCAATGGGCAGCCCGAGTTTGAGGCCGGCGAGCAATCACGATCCTAACAAGACTTTCGATGATATACTGGGGACGTCGGCGAGTGATAATGGGAAGAAGAACAAGAAGAAGAAATGAAGTGTCGACAATGAGGGATGGGAAATGGGGTGGATGGGGTTTGATGCATAAAAGCGCTTGGCTTCACAGTGTTTATACCGCGTAATGTTGCATTTACTGGAGGTGGATGATTGAGAGCGTTCTTGCATGCTCGGAAACATCTGTTATGATACAAGATGCGCAAATAATTTAGAGGCTGATATGTAGAAATGCCAGATGAATGATACCTATCGCAGCTATCGCGCTTGTCGCTAGTTCCCGCTTCGCATTATCGCCGATATCGTCGCGCCCTACACTTTTACCCACACGAACACTCATCCTCATAAAGTCGCGGGCTTTGGAGCTTCACTTGCTTCACCTGCGCTCTTCACATCCGTCAGCATGACGTCTTCGCTACCTGGAAACCGCGACCTGCCAGTCTCGCAGTTCAATTTAGGGACGTACTGGGGTCGCGTGCAGCACTCAGCAAACATATCAGATCCGAGGTGAGATACTGCGCGCGTGGGACGATGATGTTTCCTTGGGGATACTGGGTGTGGTGAGTACCACGACCTTGAGCTTTTCCATTGCTTGTTCATGTCTCTATAGCCGTTTTATGATCATTGCTAACCAACGCGCAACAGAACCCTCCTCACATCGTCGGCCGGCCTCGAAGATGCAAAAAAACTCGTTACCGCGTACAAGACGGGCAAGATACCAGAGATGACGCCCGAGCTGTGGAATGCGAAGAAGATAATCGACTCTACCATACACCCAGGTACTACAACCGGCGCGGTCGCATGATGAGGGGAGACGCTGACAGAGTGAAGACACGGGCCAGCCAGTCTTTCTGCCTTTCCGCATGTCGTCTTTTGTCTTGACAAACTTGGTTGTCACGGCTGGCATGCTTACACCGGGTCTCGGGGTATGAGAAGCGTCTACATTGAGATAATGCGACAGTATACTAAGAGTGTACAGACAGCAGGTACACTAGGATGGCAAGTGACGAACCAGTCGGTCAACGTCGGAATCAACTTCTCCAACGCGAACAAGTCGATCCCGCTCTCTACGTCCACAATCGTCCAATCCTACCTCCTCGCCGTCAGCGCATCATGCGGTGTCGCTCTCGGTCTCAATGCGCTGGTGCCCCGCCTCAAGAGCCTGTCGCCCAACGCAAAAGTCATTGCCGGTCGATTGGTGCCCTTCGCAGCTGTTGCAACAGCTGGTGCGCTCAACGTGTTCCTCATGCGCGGTGAGGAAATCAGGCAGGGCATCGACGTCTACCCCGCGCTATCGGAAGCTGAGCGAAAAAGGGTTGACACGGGAGAGATGGAGGTCAAGCCACTGGGCAAGAGCAGGAAGGCAGCTACGCTTGCTGTAGGAGAGACGGCGCTGAGTCGCGTGCTCAATGCGACACCTATCATGGTCCTGCCGCCTCTCCTGCTTGTGAAGCTGCAGAAGACAGAATGGCTCAAGCAGAGGCCCAGGATGGTGACGCCGGTGAACTTAGGTAAGTCGATGTGAAGGGCGTTTGTGGGATGATGGCTAACGCGCAATCAGGACTCATTTTCACGACATCCATCTTCGCGCTGCCACTTGCACTCGCTGCGTTCCCGCAACGCCAGGCTGTCAGTGCGCAGTCGCTCGAACCCGAGTTTCATCAGCGCGGTGGCAAGGATGGCATGGTGGAGTTTAACCGTGGGATATGATGGACCGGTAGTATGGCGAGAGAACACGGTGGCAGTACATCTGAACAGCAGGGACAGAACTATTGTGTGAAATGCTTCACGCGTATATGCCATGCTGCAGGCATCAGACGCAGTCGAACATTGCTGCAAGCAGGCGGAGGGCATGGTCGCGCTGCTGCGTTGCGGCGAAGACGGTTTTCCTGACGCTGTGATTGGCCAGGGAACTCAAAGGATCTCGAAGGGTATACAGAGGGCTCGACACGATTACTAGATAAGACCAAATGTCCTCAATCCAAAAGAAGTAGTAGGCAGCAGTGAATTAAGCTTTTCATCAAACGACCGCCTCTACATGTGACGTTGCGTTGATGCTATAACGTCAAAGTGTCCTTTGGAGAAAGACCAGGTGTCAAATAAGTCCGGGACAGGGTAGCTCGATCCAAGTACATTACTACGAAACCGCCCTCGCATTTCAACACTCAAAGGACCACGGTTTCGACCGACAACCTATTCACCGCTTTTTCTCTGGGATAGATTCCCGATCACTCTCTTCTCTTCTATCGAGGTTTTCTACTGCAACGTATAACCTCCACACTTCTTCCCCGCGGCGAAGCACGCACATCCCACCACAACCTCTCCACGCCTGCCGTTAACGACACCTTTCACTTTCCACACCACACCACACATCATGGCGCCACCCGGACGCCGGAGAGGCACCCTCTCACCGGGAGCCATGCTCCTCGGTCTCTTCTTCCTCTTCTCGACGACCGCCTCCGCCGCCTCAGCCGTCATCGGCGTCGACCTAGGCACCGAATACATCAAAGCCGCGCTCGTAAAGCCCGGTGTTCCCCTTGAAATTGTCCTGACCAAAGACTCGAAACGGAAAGAGACGTCAGCCGTCGCTTTCAAGCCTTCCAAGAGCGGTGCTCTTCCTGCGGGCTCCTTCCCCGAGCGCTTCTACGGCGGCGATGCGATTGCGCTCCAGGGACGCTTCCCGGGCGATGTATACCCGAATCTGAAACACCTGCTTGGTGTATCGAGTGAGAGCGATATCGTGGGCACGTATAAGGAGAGATATCCTGCGTTGGAAGTCACAGGAACGGACAAGCGCAACACGGTTAGCTTTGTGAGCAGCGTCTTCGCTGAGGATAAATCATACACGGTTGAAGAGCTACTGGCTATGGAGTTGAAGAACGTCAGGGAGAACGCAAAGGCGATGGCGGGCAAGGGCTACGATATCCAGGATGTTGTCTTTACGGTTCCGGCTTTCTACACGGTCGACGAGAGGCGCGCACTTGAGGTTGCTGCTCGTCTGGCTGGTCTCAAGGTGCTCAGCGTTGTGTCAGATGGTCTGGCTGTTGGTCTCAACTATGCTACTGGCAGGACTTTCCCCGACGTTACCAAGGACGGCAAGCCGGAGACGAACCTCGTGTTTGACATGGGCGCCGGATCTCTGTCGGCTACTGTTCTCAAGTTCCAGGGCAGGTCTGTCAAGGATGTTGGCAGGCGCAACAAGACTATTCAGGAGGTTCAGGTCATGGGCGCTGGATGGGACAGGACGCTTGGAGGTGACGCGATGAACTCGCTCATCGTCGACGACATGGTGGCTACCTTTGTTGAGCTTCCAGCTGCCAAGAGCGCTTCTTACACCGCCGACAAGGTCAAGGGCCATGGACGCACCGCTGCGAAGCTCTTCAAGGAGGCTGAGAGGGTTCGCCAGATGCTCAGCGCTAACAAGGAGACTAACTCTTTCTTCGAAAGCTTCTACGAGGATGTCGATTTCAAGTACAAGCTCTCTCGCACCAAGTTTGAGGAGCTCACTGCCGACTACGCCAAACGTATCGATGGGCCGATCAACCAGGCTCTTGCAGCCGCTGGCCTTACATTCGCTGATATCGACTCTGTCATCGTCCACGGTGGTGCAAGCCGCACACCCTTCGTCCAGGCCCGTCTCGAAGCAGTCGCAGGCAAGAGCAAGATCAGGGCGAATGTCAACGCCGACGAGGCCGCTGTATTCGGCGCTGCTTTCAAGGCCGCTGGCCTCAGCCCGTCTTTCCGCGTTAAGGAGATCCGCGACTCGGACACCCAGGGCTACAACCACGGCTACCAGTACATGCTCAACCTTAAGGAGCGCGACCAGAAGATCTTCACCCCCAACACCAAGCTTGGAGCGACCAAGGACCTGCCTTTCAACTTCATGGGCGAGTTCGAGTTCACCATGTACCAGGCTGTTCCTGGCGCTAATGGCGAGGTGTCCAAGGAGCCTACTCTTCACTTCCAGAGCGGTAACTTGACCAAGGTTGTTACTCACATGATCAACGAGAACAAGTGTGAGCGCGACAGCTTCAACAACTACGTTCAGGTTAGGCTTAGCCCTGTCACTGGTACTCCTGAGGTCTTGTCTGCGTGGGTTACCTGCGAGACTGAGAGTGAGGAGGTCAAGGGCGGCATTGTCGATGGTGTCAAGAACCTGTTTGGTATGGGTGGTAAGAAGGATCAGGAGCCGTTGAAGGAGGGTGAGAGCTCTTCTTCTTCATCTGCCTCGTCCTCCAAGTCTTCCAAATCATCGTCGTCTTCTTCCTCCGCAGGTGCTGAGAGCACTGATACTGCGAAGGCTGGAGAGAAGAAGATCAAGACTGTGAGGTCGGCGATTACATATGATGTTGAGCAGCTGGGCTACAAGAAGTTCCCTCGCAAGGAGTTGAAGAGGATGCAGGACAGGTGAGTTTGTGAAGTTTGTTGTGTGCGTTCAAAGACTAACGTCGACAGGCTTGCCGCCTTCGATTCATCTGACAAGTCTCGCCGCACCCGCGAAGAGGTCTTGAACTCGCTCGAAGCCTTTACCTACCGCGCTCGCGACTACCTCGAGGACGAATCTTTCATCGGAGCTTCCACCTCTGCCGTCCGCGAAACACTCGAAAAGACCCTCAGCGCCGCCTCAGATTGGATGTACTCCGGTGGTGCCGACGCCGATGAGAAGACTCTCAAGAGCAAGTTGAAGGAGCTCGAGGACATTGTCAACCCAGTCATGAAGCGCAAGAATGAGGCCGCCAAGCGCCCCGACGCCATCAAGGAGCTCAAAGACACCATCGCCCACATCAAGGAAGTCGAGCAACTAGTCGACAGCCAGATCAAGACGCAATCTGCCGAGAGCTCCAAGAGCAGCGAAGCCGTCTCCAAGGCCTCCGCCTCCGCCTCCGCCTCACCTTCCACGGACCCCATGGACGACCTCGACGAAGAAGCCGACGCACCCGCCGCACCTGAAATCACCGAAGTCCCTACCATCTACACAGAATCCGATCTCAAGACCGTTCAAGAGCACGCACAGAAAGCACAAGTCTGGCTCGACGACAACGAAGCTAAGCAAGCTGAGCTTGGTCCCACAGATGATCCCGTCTTTACGGTCAAGGACATCTTGGCTGAGAAGAAGAAGCTAGACGACGTCGTCATGGACATGATGATGAAGAAGATGAAGCATTTCAAGCCCCCGAACCAATCCACTTCAAAGACCAAGACGGCTAAGCCCAAGACGAAGAAGGCGAAGAAGACCAAGACGAAGAAATCTGCGCAGGCGGAGACCAAGGAGACTGATGTCCCTGTTGCAGATGGTGAGAGCGGTCCTAGCCAAGCGGAGTTGGAGGAGGCGTTGAAGAAGGCGGGGTTTAGTGCTGAGGGCATTAAGTTGCAGAATATGGGGAGTAAGACGGATGGAGAGGAGGGCGATGTGACGGATGAGAAGGGCAGGTTGTTGAAGAAATTGGATATTGGAGAGGGGGCGAGTGAGGAGGATATTAAGGCTGCTATTGATCGGTTGGTGGCGGAGGGAGGTAAGGGGAAGAGGGAGGAGGGGAGTGATGAGCTGTAGGTTGTGATGACGATAGAGGAAGGCGTGGATGTGCTCGTATGATGGGGGGAGGGGATGGAAGTGATAGACGGTGAAGCGAGTAGATGATCAACACGAATGAGATTTTGATATGTCAACGATACGAGTTTCGTTATGGACTATTAGTCCACTCTCATTTGGGTTAAGTTATTGGTTTACACACCTTCCAATTCGGATGCAAGAACGAACAGCCTCCACCTCCACCCCTCCGCCTCCCCTCCGCCTCCCCCATCCACCCAGGAGGTGGAGGCTGTTCGTTCTTGCATCTGATCCAAGTATCAAGTAATCGGCTTCTACATCTTCCGGGGTGGAGGTGGAGGTGGAGGTGGAGGTGGAGGCTGAATCTCTCTGACTTCGTCTTCATCTCATCATAATCCGATCACATCCAATCTCGACCAATTCCTCCACGTATCAAGCTACCGGCTTCCACATCCTCCATCGGTGGAGGTGGAGGCTGCATGTCTTCGCATTCGCGCCCGTCTCGTGATTATCTGATTATACTCGAGAGCAATTCGTTCAAGTGCTGTACTATGGCTTCCACACCTCCGAGGGCACCACTGTAACCCCCTTTCTCCCCAGCTGTTCCTCTACTTCTTCCTCGATTACTCCTGGAGCCTTACCATGGGCATCGTACGTAGAATGTGCACCTTGCAACAAAACGACTTTGAAGCCAGCGGCTAGTGCACCTCTGCACGTCGAAAGGACGCAGCATTCACTTTGTATGCCAAAGGCTACAATCGTGTCTACACCCTCGTCTCTTAGCTGGGCGGCAAGGGATGGATTGGCCTCGAAAGTATCACCTAAACGCATCTGTCAAGAGAAAACAAAAACACAATATGAATACTCACGGACATCCTTCTCTACCAGTCGTTCCCATTTATTATCGTCTCGTGGCTTAAACACCAACTCCCACGCCTTACTCCCTTTCACAAGCGGTCCTTTCTCAGCAACCTCCTCGTGCTGCACAAATACGATCTCTATATCCGGTACTCTTCCCTCTTCACACGCCGTATCGATGGCCCGACGCGCTCGCTGCAGGATGCTCGTCCCGGCTTCGCGGATACGGTCCGCATGTGGTATTTCGGTCGCTGCGTTTTGCGCTAATTCGACTTGGATGTCGATTGCGAAGAGGGCTGTTCGT